GACCGCAGACACTGAACGCAGGCCAGCTGGGCTGAACAGAGACCGCAGACACTGAACGCAGGCCAGCTGGGCTGAACAGAGACCGCAGACACTGCACTGAGACTTCAGTGAACTTCAATTTCCCCCAGCTACAACATCTTTGTTGTAATCTGACCGAAATGAAGGGCCGTGCGCTCCCTCACTTTGTGAGCCATCTCCAGAGGCTCGCCGCCCTTGATGAGGATGCCGTTCTGGGCTCCCACTCCGGTGCCGACCATGACCGCGGTGGGCGTGGCCAGGCCCAGGGAGCAGGGGCAGGCGATGCACAGGACAGTGATGGAGGCCTGGAAGGCGAACCTGATGGCCACCTCAGCCTGGGAGATGCTTTGGTTATATCCCTGGGGGGGGGGGGGGGGGAGACAAGAGATAAGAGCAGAAAGACTCCACACTCCTATTTAAAAGTCAACCTGGGGTGCATTCATCACTGAGCATGACATTACAGAGGAGGCATTCAAAGAAGAAAACATGTAGTAATTACAGAAAGCTTCCAGATTGTAGCATATTGCCGGGAGCTGTCAATTATTACATTTAATTACAATACTAAACAGGCAATCCTCAATGGTACTAATTTAAACGTGTTCTGGAGGGTGCAAAATCATCTGCATGCCTGCATAAGTAGAAGGAAAATGTCACTCACTGGGAAATATTTCTCAGCCAGAGAAAAGTCTAAAAATCCAATAATAATCCAGGCAAGCAGGGTCAGGACGGAGACGCCGACGATGAAGGGAACAAAGTAGCCGCTGATCTTGTCCGCGAACTGCTGGATGGGAGCCTGGTGAGAGAGGGGATGGGAGGGGATCTGTCAGTCTGATCAGCGGGGTACGGAGGGCAGCGCGGCCGGAGAGGCTCGTCCACAAAGATCAGCCTGAGCAGCATTAACCTGAAAAGCAGGACAGTCTTCAAGTGCTTCATGAAGGCTCCTTTATTTGGTCACTTTTCACTCTTCATGAGACACTGAATTCACAGTTAAAGCCTAAAGTAGGGCATGTGGCTCAAAGCTCGATACACACAGAGTCTGCTGCCCGGAATGAATGCTCTTCGGAATGAATTCTCTTTGCTGTCCCTGTAAAGGACAAGTAGGGCAGCTGCAGGTCCCACTGCTGGGGGCCAAAGTGGGTGGAACGATGGCTGGGAAATGGGGCACGACTGATCTCAGATCACCAGTAACTGCGAGGTCCCCTCCCTATGGTCGCCTATGGCTTACTCACTGGGGGCTTTGGGTGGGGATGCTGTAAAGCGCTTTGGGACAATGTAATGTTGTGATAATGCGCTATACAAAAATAAATTTGTTGTTGTTGTTGTTGTAGTCCCAGCAAGGACGGGCGGGGGGAGGGGGAGGCACTTCTTGCTTACTAGTTGTCTACATTTGTGCACTAATTTCATGCTAGAATTGCAGTATATTTACATCACCTTCAAAACTCAATAGCATCCAGAAAACGGACTGGAACATTCAGTGTCACACGCCACACATGTGACCAGACCAGCAGCTCAAATCCAACTCCGATACACAACAGCGTGACTGCAGGCGTCACATGACCACTGACACGTGAGCTGAGGGAAAAGGCACCTTGGAGGTTTGGGCCTCCTCCACCAGCTTGACGATTTGGGACAGGGTGGTGTCCGCCCCCACGTGTGTGGCTCTGATGAACAGGGACCCGTTCTGGTTTATGGAGCCGGCGATCACCGAGCTGCCGGGCTTTTTCGTCACAGGCATGGCCTCTCCTGCAACGCAAAGCCAGAGGAGCGTCTGTGGGTCTCGCTGCCAGGAAAGGAATATACTGCAGCTTGGGATGATGTACAACACCAGAAACTGGAATGTTCTGGAATTTTCTGTCACATGCATTATAGTTTACCGATACCTGTAATGAGCGACTCATCTGCCATAGAGTGACCTTCAAGGACTCGTCCGTCAACGGGGAACTTCCCACCTGGGACAACCTTGACCACATCTCCCCTCTGAACCAGCTCCACATCCACCTGCTCCTCTCTGATGTGGACACACAACCACGATCCTCAGGTTTACCACGTACAGCTGTGCCAAGAACCATCTTTACACTGGATCCCCCATCGATGGATGAACGTCCCATGAGTGCTATTGGAAATCCCACTGATGACTAGCAGAAGCAACAATACCTCAGGATAGACATGTCACTGTTAAGAGTGACAACGGTGGCCTCCGTAGCCTGCAGCGACATCAACTTAGACAGCGCTTCAGAAGTTTTGCTCTGAAAATAGCAGCAGAGAAATGCAACTAAATAAAGCAATAGATGGTACTTTTGACACTGGTATAACGAGGCAGCTATGTATGTGATAACTGAACAAGTTATAACAATTAAGGTTTTCACCTTTGCTATTTGCTCGAGCCACCTCCCCAGCGAGATGAACACGAAAAGCATGGGAGGAGTATCAAAGAAAGTGACGGGGTTGGTCTTCGCCCTCTCGATCATGGCCACCAGCAGAATCACCAGAGAATAGGTGAAGGCTATGGAAGTTGCCAGGACGATGAGAACATCCATGTTGGCCGTCCTATGCTTCAGAGATTTGTACGCCTGGATGTAGAAGTAGCGACCACCGACGAACTGTCAGAGGAACAGATTAAGGTTCATAAGTCTCAACACCATGAGAATTCAAAAGCCACCATCCTTTAAACTGTGCATAAACGCTTGAAATACCTGTACTGGGACACAGAAGAGGAAAGAGATGAGATTCATGATGGACAGACCAGGAAGAAGCTGCCGCTCTAGGAACATGTTGGAGTGATACTGCTCGATGTCCGCCTTACTGGCGTTATGGTGGTGCTGCGTGTTTATCTGGTGGTCCACGATGATCATGTATATCATCATGCCCATCACAGGAATGCAGAAAAAGAGGCTGATGATGAGGGACTTCCTCCACCTTGAGAAAGGAGACAGACTCACTGCCAGCTTGGCATTGGAGGCTGAACTGAAGATAAAGTCACGACCACGCATAAGATGCTGGCAAAGACCCCAAAACGTGCCAACTTACTGCCGTATCTCCTTGCTGTGGTCCAGGTGACTGGCAGAGCGGTCTTTTTTCACAAGAGAAGCCTCAAAGCCTAGATTCTGTAAACAGAAGGCCCGCTTTAAAAAGTCATAAGAATTAGTCAGGCAAAAATTCCAGAAGGGTAAAATCTCACCTCAATCAGTTTGATCAGATCACGTGGTCCAGTTACTTCCGGGTCATATTTGATGTGGGCTTTGTTGGTAGCCAGCGCCACAGATGCATAGACGACGCCTTCGTTTTTCATCAGGTTCGACTCAATTTTGTGCACACAGGAGGCGCATGTCATCCCCCTCACCTGGTGAGTGGAGAACATTCCCCGTATTTAAGAGCATCCAGCACGAGACTCAAAGCAGTGCGTAAAGGGCAGTGCGTAAAGGGCAGTGCATAAAAGGCAGTGCGTAAAAGGCAGTGCATAAAAGGCAGTGTGTAAAGGGCAGTGCGTAAAGGGCAGTGCGTAAAAGGCAGTGCGTAAAGGGCAGTGCATAAAAGGCAGTGCGTAAAAGGCAGTGCGTAAAGGGCAGTGCGTAAAGGGCAGTGTGTAAAGGGCAGTGCGTAAAGGGCAGTGCGAATACGAGGCCTCACCACCAGCTCCAGGCTGCCATCAGAGCCATCGTAATTCTCCATGACAGACGCGGTGAAGCCCAGCTCTCGGATGCACTCCACAATGCTGGCAGCGTCAATGATCCTAGGGTTGTAACGCACTTCTGCCTTACTGGCCATTAGTGCCACGAGCACAGAGTAAACTCCTACACAACATGACAGGCAAGAGTACACAAGCGTGAGGCCGACAGCGGAAGAGTCCACACCTCACAGCCATCAGCGATATACATTTTACCTCATTATTCTTCTGCCATTTCACAGTCTGGTCTGACAGGGACATACAGTACCCTCAAAAATTACTGCCAGTTGTTAAAACTGAGGTTATGCAAAAAAAATGTTTGTGGTCAGTTTAATCTCATGGAAGCAACAGGTGGTTGATGTTAAACTATAAATTAATTGTTGTTGCTGTTGATCAGGTTTTTCAGGAACATAGAGATGCCCCAGACTGGTCAAGCTCAGATTGGCCTTATGAAATCCTCAATACAGCACCCTCCAGAATTCTGGGCATTTGTTAAAAAGGGGTAAATAAAGCTATGACAAATGTGTTTCTGGCCATTTAGATTAATCTCACACTGAAAATGTTAGCAAATTGCAACCTTTAACATGTAAATTTATTCCAGAAAAAAACAACAATAATCAAAAACTTTATTTAGCAATGACTAAGGTTGGTGGTACTTGCTACTGTTGAAGACATCATGACAAGACAATTAATGATTAGGGCACAGCAGGGACAGGGGATAAATATATGGGACAAAACGTACAAGAGTGAATGCGAGGTCTGTAGTTATCAAAATCAAAAGTGCCACAATTACTGGCAGCCCTATGCTTAGTACTTTATTCAACATCCCCAACATAACAGCACATACTGTTCTTCAATAATTCGTGATGAGATTTGAGGAAAGAGTCAGGAACCCGAGAGCAAGAATTTAAACGGGTAACAATAATTCTGTCATGTGTGGTTTTGCTAAAATACAGCTCTGGAAAAAATGAAGAGAACACAGCACATTTTTCTGTTTTACTCATTTCTCAAGTTATGGGTGTCTGTGAATTATATATATATATATATATATATATATATATATATATATATGCAAACTGCAGTCTGGTTCCTCTCTCTCATTAATGAAGGGCTTCTTCCTTGCTTTATGGGACTTCAGTCCTGTTTCTAGGTGCCTGATATGAACTGAGCTAACAGTGCACTTCACATCCACAAATAATGCTTCCTATTCTTTTTGAAAGTCAATTCCTGAGAAGCTGTCGGATGAGCTGATCACCTCTGCCATTAGAAAGGGGCTTCCGCCCTCCACCTGCCTGGTTTTTGGTCGTTTCTAGTGTTTTGTTCCTAACATCCTTTTTTTTGTAGCCTGGCGGCAGACCGGCATGTCAGGGGCTGCCTGCAGAACCAGGATCAAACCAGGATTTCATTTTTTATTTTATTTTTTTTAACATGGAGGGCTCTCAATTTTTGCCAGAGCTGTACATATAATACTTTCAGACCATAAACACTTTTTAATAGCCTTTTCCTCTTTTTGCTACCAAGAGCACCGATAATTCTGGAGGGCACTTGAATTAATGCGGCATTACTTTTACCTCAGATGTTGGAAAGTGGAGCCGGGAGTGACATCATAACCAAACTCAACACATTCCAGTACAAGCTGGAAAGCCATTTAGCAATACCAGTTCTACCCAGGTTCGTTGTTATCCATTGTTACCAATACCAATTGATATCAACACATTACGAGGCTTTTTGCACATACAAACACAGCCACAAGTCCTCAGATAGAGGTTGGACAGTACTGTGTATGACTGATTTAACAAGACACAAATAATTCATAAATGCTAATAAACTGTAAATAACTTCAGCCTTCACGTCTGAGGAAAGCCCCAGCCATCTGGAATTCCCATGTCGGGGTTGTAGCGCTTCTCCCGACTCGGAACGCTGATTGCAGGGGACATTCCAGCTGTTTCCGACTTCCCAGTTCAAATGGAGAGCAGCATAAGGGTTTCATAAGGTCATTCTAAACTTGAAGAATGCTCACAGGCCGGTCTGAGACATTTCTCCTTTCAAGAAATCTATCCCTGTAACTGGTTCATGATAAACAATAACTATTCTAATTTTAATGTACGTCACCTACTGCCAGGCTATTAATATCTATTGCCACACTAAAGGCCATTGTTTCCTGGAATTCAGAGCATGACCAAGTCCGTACCATCCTCATTCTTGAGGTTCCTCTCAATGTTAACCACACAGGAAGCACAGGTCATTCCTCCAATGTGTATATAGCACTTTGACAGGGTTTTTGCCCCTCCTTGCTCTCCCTGAACATCCCCAGAATCTTCGTTACCCTCATCCTTGGGGGTGTCTTCTGGGGGCAAAGGCAACTCCGTGACCAAGGAATTTGTTTCTTTGAATAAAAAAAAAAAAACAACAAAAAAAAGAATGAGTGAGCACTAAGATGCTGTTACTCAACCACAACAATTTTTCATATTAAATTTACCTGGTAAGAAAGCATCAAAGCCCATGTCTTCGATGGCCAGGCGGAGCTCTTCTGGTGTGGTGACAAGAGGGTCATACTGAAATGTGCCCTTATGGCTGGAGAGAGAGACCTGGACAGACTTTACCCCCTTGTGCTGAGACATCATTCCCTCGATAGACTGCACACAGGAGCCACAGGTCATGCCTTCAATGCCGATAACTACGACTGGCCCCTGGGGCAGCAAAACTCCGGGTTCTGGGGCCAGCGGCAATGGGGCGGGAAGGCCCTGGGGCACTGGGGGTGTTTCACCATCCATATAGACCCGGAAATTCCCGGGTGGGAGAGCTTCGATGGCCTGGCGTATCTGTGTGACCGAGATAAGCCTAGGATTATAGCACACCGCCGCATTCTCCCGCTCCAGAGAGACCTCCACGGAGACCACCCCCGGCAGAGACGACGCGTTGTCCTGGATGTTGGTCTCGCAGGAGCGACAGTGCATGCCGGTCACCCTCAGCAGCACGGGGACAGCAGCACCCAGGGAGGGAGGCACGACAGTCGGCCCGGCGGAAGCCTGCAGGCACTCCACCTTGCTGCTGGACAGCTGTATAGGGCTGGGCTTGGATTTCACATGGGCCTGGAAGCCTTCCACGCTGATCTGGCTGACAATCTCATCAAGAGTGATGATCTGAGGCACATACACCACTGTGGCTTCTTGGGCGTCCCAAACAACTGCAGAATGTGAAAACCGTAGACATTCTATTTAAGAGGGTTAACAGGAAGATTCCAGAGCCGGAGCTCTTCAGACCCCCGCGTGAGGGAGGGAGAGAGACTGTCCTCACAATGATTTTATATATTAGCAGAATCATTATTTACATTCAGATGCTACACTCAGTACACTGCAGACGTTTCAGGCTTAAGTATAGCACATAGGGGAGTTTATGGCTCTGGGCAATACGACTGTCACCAGAAGGTTGCCACTTCAAATCCCATAGTAGGAGTGATATCAGCACTGGGCCCTTCAGCAAGGCCCCTAAGCCCAGCTGCTGACCTGGTTCTCTCACCTGTACGTTGCTTTGGATGGAAGTACAGCATATACTAAATTAATATATGCAATACAAATCTGAAGTTGCCCTCGAATACGATACTATATGATATTTGGGGCATGAAAGGGGAGCACAGAAAATCTTGAGCATTCATTGGTGACTCGAGTTACCTTTGACCTTCCGGACACCATTCAGCTTCCTGATTTTCCCTTCTATGGTCGTGGTGCAGGACAGGAAGGCCATCCCTTCGATACGCATCTTCACCAGCACCTCGTCATCCTGACTGGCCGGCGGCCGCTCGGGGGGCTCGGTCTCCGCTTCCAAGCCCAGACTCCTCAGCGCTTCGTCGACCCGCTCGGCACTGGTCATGGACGGAATGAAGGTGAGGGACAGACTGTCCTGGCTGGGGACCACTGAGGCCTGCACAACCCCCCTCAGCTGGGACAGTGAGCTCAGGGCCTGGGGCTGGGATTCAATGGAAAGGCCTGTCAGTGATATGACTCTAGTTTCTGTGGGTACAGGTACAGCGGCAGGGAATTCTGGGAGCCTGGACTCGAAGCCCATGTCTTCAATGGCTTCTGCTAGAGACTCTGGGCTCTGGAGGCTGGGATCGAATGTCACCATAGCCTGCTTCAGCTCCAAGGACACCTACAAGCAGTTATCAAAAAAAAAAAAAAAACCAAACACAGATAATGAATGTTAGCTCATTAAAGCTGAGACAGCGCAAACATTTACAGATTTCGTTCGTCACATAAGAACAGCGCAAATCCTAGAAAGTTCAGACTGAAGGGAAAAATACACACAAAATACTGATATAGCGAGCAGTGCGACTGGAGTTAAAATAAGGGAGGAATAAAAAAGTCACTAGATCTTTCAGCTCAGAGTCACGAGTCAACAAAAAAACCTCAGAAATGAAAAACATTCAGTCAAGCTGAGTAACTGGCCTGTTCTAGACATGAACACACTTTCAGTAATGTCCAGCAGTATATCAGGAAATCAGGCTCCATTTGGATCTTCAACTACCACAACACAGAGGTCAAACAAGATAAAGCCAGATGATGGCAATGTACCCCCAGGCCAATGAAATCTCACAGACCTAACCAGCTATCGGAAATAGGACACGACGCTGTAGGTTTCAGTTTTGCAAAGGCCAGAACTCCGTCAAAGGCAGATTATTGCATTAACTGCTCATTCTGCTTTTCCTGCAGGGAATGCAGTCCATCAGGGGAAGGTCAAGCTTCATGAAAACTAAGTTGCAGAAGACAGCCGACCAGCTCCACAGGCGACCGCTTCTGCTTAATTGATAGACACTCCCCCTTGGAGAAGACAGCTAATCCATTTGCTGTTGTTAATCAGGATGCCTGGGCAGAGACCAGCTTGTGTCAGAGTGACATCCCATCCATCTCAACAACCCACTGCTCAGGTCAACATTAAAGCGCAGCACAGATACACCCCAGGCCATCCCCGACAATCTTCGTAAAGAAATATGCATCATTCAGCCAGTTAGCAGTTGTATAATGATCATGATTTTCTCCTTACACCCCAGACAAAAAACGCCAGACAACCAGTCCAGGCTGAAGCATACTCACTGACCTGAAGGCCATAGACTCCGGGGAGCCCAGCGACTTGCTGCTCAATGCTCTGCACACAGGAGCCGCAGGTCATGCCGTCCACCCCCACAGTCACAGAGCTCACTGCTGTCTTCAGAGCCATGACTCAGCAGCTTTCAGGGCAGCCAAAGAGGAGAGTCGTTACAGCATGTTACAGCCCATGAGGAGAGTCGTTACAGCATGTTACAGCCCATGAGGATAGTCGTTACAGCATGTTACAGCCAATGGTTCAGAGGAATACGAGCACCCCCATGGCTCAACGACCCTGGCATTAGCTTCAGTCAACGATCAGTTAACCCAACAGAATTTGCAAAACTTAATCAATGTGCATCTCCCAAATAGCTCACTTCAGCACAGGCTGCCAGATCCATTCAGCTGAAACTCCCCCACCAGTCTGGTTTCCCACATGTTGCGAATCTCATATAGAGTGAGGCTCGAATCCCTGGCTCTTTAAGCCACAATCAGGAAACTAGAGCTTTAAGTGTTTTCAGATAATCACCAGACACTGCACCACAGTGCAGCAAAGCAACCTTTAAGCACCCATTCTATTAAGAGACCTACGCCTGAGCAGGACAAAGACGAGTAAAAGCTTCACAGACCATCTATTAAAGATTATAGTTAGGAGATTTGAGACTCAAAAGGTTTAACTTATGTTACACAAAATGGCATTATGCTAAAAACTTAAAGCCAATGCAAAACAAAAATGAAGTAAATAATATATAAAGGATGCAAACAATATATGAAAGATCAAGATAAACTTTACTGATCTCAGGAGGGAAAATTTTTGAAGTAAACTATAAATAGTAAACAAAAAAGGTAGTTCAGCTGTTAAATAAATAAATCATAAATAGACAGACCGCTCAACAATGACAAATGAGTATTATCGTAGGTTACTGCACACTGAACAGTCATTTTCGCAAAACTGCAAGACAACCATGTCTGGAGAGTTGAGAATACAAACAAGTTTAGATTTAAACACCTGTCTGTGTCCCCCACGGAAAGCGAGATAAGACAGTCAAACGGACTATTTCCCCACAGTTGTCAATAAAGTATCTTTTCTATAAACATGCAACTCCAAACAGAAGGCACCCTGGTGAAGATTCAAATCCTGGTCCCAGAGGTGAAAGGCGGCAGTGCTAACCACTGAACCACCCCTGTTTCAAGGATGTTTTTATATTTTATTCTTAAAAAGTACACGTTACATATATATATTAAAAAAAACTAACTTCGGCGAAACTTTCACTGGAATATTCTAGTCTAATCGCTGTCACCGCCAAGATTCATAACATTCTACCGAAACAGTTAGATAATGTAATGAAAATTAATTTCAACACAGACAAGAAACGGCTATAAAATTATCTATATATTTCCCTAAACATTCTTGAAATTAAAGAGTAGCAGATTGCCACGATCAAAAAACAGCCCGATATTATTACTTTGTTGAAAGTCACTATTAGGAGACATTTAACTTTTATGTATCTGAACTGCCTAAGCCACGGAAAACGGTAAACAAAGAATGACAGATAACGCTTAAACATGATATTACTTTGAAAAATAGTAAAGTTACACACAGTTTTCTTAAACTGGAAAAACGTACGCATAATCCATATCTTCATAACACTAAGGTTATTTCAGATGTTTACCATGACGGCAAATCGTTAATGATTGTTTAAAAATTGCTTAGATAAGTAATGAAAAGGCTTAACTAGCATAGTACCTTAAAGCAGTCACGTCCGAAGTCAAAGCTTACAATGAAACTTGCGGTCAGCTTCCCCTTTCTTGCGGTGTAAAGCCAGATTTGACCCCAGCTCACTCTTCATCTGCGGATCCACAAATAACATTGTTTTTCTTTTTTATATATAAAAAAACGAACCCACCTAATGACATAACAAACTACACCAAAATGAGATGGTAAACAGACGAAAAGCTGTTCAATCTCAGCAGACACATGAATTTAATCTAGCTAGCTGCACACCGCTTTTTAGTTACAGGCTACTATACACAGCGCTCTCACCCCAAAGGAACGCTAGCGCTGATGCTCAGTGGCATTTTTTTTATATGACAGACCTTTGGAAGTGAAGCACCGCTGCATTCATTTACTCATTATCTTCAGCTTGTAGAGTCATCACAGCCTACAGGCTTCTTTTCATACTGTACAACCAATGCATTTTTTTCTGGAGTTCCTTCAAGTAATTTAAAGCCATGGCGTCACGTCCGGTGTGACCGGAAACACGGGACGCAGCATGTCGCAAACGTGATACATTCGGAAAAGGGGCGCGTCCTAGATCCTTTTTCATCATAATTAACTTTAACGGGGTTATATTACTTCACAATAAACAATAATATTTTCCTGTTAAGACGTTTAGTTAAAATATTTGTTGTATCAGCCAACGGGGCTTTATACTTGTTTCGAGCAGCGTAAAGAAGATTATAACGTTCAATTGTATTCTCAATAATCCGTCCAGCAAGTTGTAGTGTTAGAAAATGCTAGAGATAATAATACAGATTAATTAAATAAGGAGCAAAGACTTAATGTCTTAGGTTATTGATAATAAAATCTTATTCAGTTCGATGTATTTTAGTACATTAAGTTGAGTTTATATCAGTTTATATATAGTTTTATCTACTTATGTATTATAAATCACAATTTTAAATATTTTATTCGTTGCCTAGGACTCTAACGAGTCTATACAGTTTCAATTTTCGCTATGACAAATAACCATTTTAGTAAAGACATGAGCGCGGTCTTTCTACCGTTGGGAGCGCCATGACCGCTTGGAGAGCCTCCGATCTGCGGGGGTAACTGCGCGGCGTAAGTAGCAAGAACCCGGAAGTGCTTACGGCTAGAGTTCCCTCGTTAAAAAGGTATTTTGGAATAATTAAAGTAGATATGTATAGTTAGCATGTATGTTTAATTGTAATATTTCCCGCATCGTGAAACGATTTACACGTTAGGTGTACGTACAGCTGCCATTATGGCAGTTTCTGACCCGAGCAGTGTTAGCCTGCATGGCTACTGCTAGCGCCAGCTATCTATGGCAGCCTCACATTCGTGCGAAAATAAGACCGTCGACTAGATAGTTCTTAAATTTTTGCTGTTTCGCAAGCTTCAGATCAGTGGACTCCCTTTGGTGTTTACACAACAGACGAGTGTGTTATCAAGGTGTGTTTGCATAGTTCGTCGACTGGCAAAAGCTGCTTTACTCTCTGTGTTGTAGCTGAGTTCAATTGGTAAACTGACAATGAAGTTTCTCTGCAGCGATTGACTGGTTTTTAGCGCAAAGCAAAATAACTTTCAAGCTTACATAATTGTATAATGAGAGACGGTTAAATTTGCACAGTAGATTAACGAGGAACATTGCCAAAGCGATTTATTTAGGTAAACTAGCTTACTTTTGAGGTTAAAGATGGCATGCGTGACTACCTGTGTAAATATTTGTGGCTATCTGCGTAACGGTGTCACTGTAAAATACAATTCTGTAGTGGTTAATGGTGCAATTTTTGTCTTTCACTTCTGTGTAGGCCATAAAAGTTAGTATGGCTGCGACCATTATTCATGACTCCTCTGAAGCGGTGGAGTTGTGCTTCGGCAGGCGTCTCTTCCTGAAGCCCATATCGAAGCTGGCCATTACAGTGACGTGGGCCGACTTACTGGAGCCTGCCAAGGCAGTGTCCAACTGGGAGGTCATGGCCAGGCTTAAGCAGATGGTGCACCCCCTCCAGTTCACCTCCATACGTGTTTCTAAGAGTACTCTGGATTTTGTGCGCTTTGAAGCGGAGCTAGAAACCAAAGCCTTGGGCAAGGTGCTGTGTCAGAAGCTGAATGGGCAGACGCTGGATGGCATGGCTGGGGACAGAACTTTCCAGGTCCTTGCTTCTGAATGCAGTACAGACTTCCCAACTCGCAAGGAGTGGGAGTCCTTCTTCCAGGATGAAGAGGAGTGGCCAGATACGCTGCACCTGGATGGTCTTCCCTGCAAGTGGTTCAGTACCTCAGAGTCCCGGTGCCAGAAACCCAGGGAGGAGATAGTTCGGGAGGTGTTTGAACACTTCGGCCCCATACGCAACATGGACATTCCAACTCTTGATGTTTACAGAGAGGAGACGGGCAGTAAGCTGTCTAATGCCTTTAGCGTGTCCGGCTTGCAGACCTTTGATGTTTACCTTCAGTTCCGGCAGCGTGAGGACCTTAGGAATGCGATGGAGTCTCTGAGAGGAATGAGGCTAATGCTAAAGGAGAGCGATGGAAAAGCCTTGGTGTGCAACGTCAAGGTGTGTGGAAGCGGGGGGGGGGGAGGATAGCCGGCAGGGACCTAACCTGTGACTCAAGGGTGAGGATCTAAGCGTTTTTAATATTGCTCAGTTTGCAGTGGCACTGCTAATAATTGTGCATATTTCTTAGGTAAGCTTAGACTTAACCAGCCACTTGAGTGAGGCAGCAGTGCAGAAGAGGCAAATGGAAAGAAGGCAGCTGGAAGCACTGGAGGAGAAGAGGCAGAGGGAGAAAAGATACGAGAGGGAGGAGGAGGCTGACAGGTAGAAGACGTCACCAGAGCTGCCATTTTGACCTTGTGTGGCAGATTGGAATAAAATCACACAGGGATGAATTTTTAACAAAGAGCAGTGTGTGTATATCAATATCATAGTGTCTGGTGTTGCACTTACTATGTGTTTACAGCAGAGTGGATTGTCCTTTAGTAGAACCTCATGTGTTTTATGTGTTTTAAACACTTGAAACATCTAGAATACATTACCAATCCAAAGTAAACCTGAGTTAATTAATAGGTGACATAAGAACATAACCGTTCCAGTGTCTGACGAGGACGGCTCGGGCTGTGCTAATGCAATCTGCTGCTTTTTCCTGAACCAAAGAAAGCGACGAGAGGACCAGCGGCTAAAAAGGCACCAGGACAAGCTGCGGCGGCGAGCCGAAAGACGAAAAGAGGAGTCTGAGAGGAGGGCGCTGCAGACGCAGGCACATGTGGAGAGCCAGGAGGAGAAGGAGGAGCAGCTTTGGGAGGAGAAGGAGGAGCAGCTTTGGGAGGAGAAGGAGGAGCAGCTTTGGGAGGAGAAGGAGGAGCAGCTTTGGGAGGAGAGGAAGTTCGTTTTGGTGCAAAGGAGGCTGCAGTCCATCAGACTGCTCACTGCCCTTCTTCACAGAGCCCAGGTACAGCCTTGTAATGCTTTAAGCAGGAGAAGCCGCCCTTGTGAATATCGCACTCGAACGGTTATGTCTAGTAATATCTACCAATAATCTCTCCACATATTAGTAAGGTTACGTCAACACTTTGGGAATATATCATTTAATATCTAGTTTTAGTTTATTTTAGTGCTCATTTTTATGTTAACACTCAATTTTGTTGTGCTGACTTTGTGTCTCTTTTCTTGCTCCAAGCGTGGTTTAGCCAAAGTGCAGTGTGCAAGAAAGGTGATCAAAAAAGAAAAGTCGAGCTGCATACCTCCAGTTCCTTTATATGAAGGAAGCAGAGATGTAAAGGTGGAGCCTGTACAAGACCTTTTCTCAGAAACCAAAAACCCTGTGGTTTGTTCCCCGGACACAATCATCCCAGTTCCCTTCAGGGAGCGTACCATTGGCGATGGACATGTTCCGTTCCAGGAGCATTCAAGGCCGAGTGGACCGTACAGCCCACTCCGGGTAACAATCAGCCAGAGTCACACAAAACGGGACCTCGCCAAGAACACGTGGCCACCAACTAATCAGCGTCACCAGAGTTGCTCCTTGATAACAGGCGGAGAATTTTCTAGCGGTAAGCACTGGTTTACCGTACACAGAAAGAAAGAAAAGGTGTATGAATCGGAAGAGTTCCTGAATTACATACTCAACCACTACCCGCATACAAGCTATTTGGGGCCGTATGAGAACTCCCACCCCCCATGCAGTGAGTCCATGTGGCGAAGGAGGGTGTCTGATGATGGCAAAAGTTTCCTCATCAGCCTTAGAAACTTAGATAGAGGGGTTTGCACTGAGGTGAGCATCAGTCAGAATTCAGATCAAAGTAATCCCAGTGATGAGGATAGGTACAAATGGAAAATTACCATTAAGGAAACTGAACCAGCACAGAAGATGCTTGGAACACACAGGGGGCTGATGGGGGGATACAGCAGAGAGTTTGAGGTTTCCTGGAACAAGTCCAGCTCTCAGCACACAACGCACACCTCCGATAACCGGAAGGATGACCGGGATGACCATCCCGACAGAGGGACTGTCACCTTAAAAGACGGCCTTGGCGGCTTTCCAAAAAACAATGAGTCAGTCTGCCCTCCTGCATCTGCTTATTTTAAAGAATGTCTGAGTGAAAATAAGTGCAAAAAGCTGAGTGCTCAGGAGGCTGGCGGCAAGATTGAGAACCGGAAATATGCAGAATGTGAGAAGAGGATGGATAGGGAAGGTGCCTGTAAGATTGGGAACGAGGAAGATGAGGTTCTGGAGAAGAAAGCGGCGGTTCTGGAGAGTGAAAGCTGGTGGGAATCGCCCCAGCCAGAACAGAAACCGAGGAAGAAGGCAAAAAAAATAAAGAAGGACTACAGTGGAAACCAAGTAGATGAGACGGAGGACGCAAAGAAAAGGAAGAAAAAGAAAAAAGAGAAGCACAGAGATGTGGAGCCTGAGAACGACAAAGTGGCTGAGGCGGAAGAAAGGAGGAAATGGAAGAAAAGCTGTAAGGGCCCCCCGGGGGCCCGGTCTGATCCGGCCCGCAGGAGCAGGAGCCATGAACGACTGGGCACTTCCAGCGGAAATAAGGCAGCTGCAGATAATGTTGGTTACTATGGTGAATGTAAGGACACTAGAACCACGTACACCTTTGAAAATGAGCTTGCAAACTGGAGGCATGATGATGAAGATCAGCTCTGTTGGGTTAGGAGCAGCCATCTGGGAAACAAAATGTGACATTGACTTGTTAAGGACTCAAAGTGAGCCAAACAGACCTAAAACTGTACAACGTTCAGATTTTTAACCGTGTAAAAATCTTTGTGATATGTCTAAAGAAGTTATTTTTGTCCTATGTGACACAATGACAGTTTCAGGGAAATTAATATTCTTGTATTTTTTTTTTCTTTTATTTACCTCAGAATATAAAGTCTTTTCTAAATTTTGCTTTTGAAATGGTGTTTAATTTCTCAGAATTGCACCATCTGTGTTGAGTCTAATACAAACTTGTAAGCCTTTTCTAGTGTTCAGATTGGTGTTCAGTTTAAACCTCATATCCCAAAGCACTTATACAAATAAATTAATAACATTCCAGAAATTCCAATAAACTAGTTTTCTTACAATGTGCAAGTTCTGGCCAAATAATGGTATAAATATTGCAATCACAGCATCAGTAAAATCTTGTAAGACGTCTTTGTATGTGCAAAGACATCACAAACAAGCCAGTTAAACAGTTTAGGGTATATTTCAAAGGTTCCCAAATACAGTGTTACAGGGATTCATTTTATTACCAAAAATTTTGTAATCACAGAGAGATCTGATACGTTTACACTGTCTTGTTTAATATTCATTGTGAAGAAATCAGTAGAAAATATTACATAAATTAGTGTAGTTTGATTCATTACCAGATGTAGTGATTTTAGTCTTGTGGGATAAGAAATTTGTTCTAAAAAAATCTAAATCAGATTTCTGTTGACGGTGATGGATGTTCACCTCTATATGCGTAACCTGATGAGAAGCTTAATAATGTTATCCATTAAATAATGTTTAACTCAGATCCGGAATCACAATTAACTCGGGGTATTTTTCCTTCAGGATATGAAGGTTATCATATTTTTTCTAGTCTATAGCCACGGTTAGACACGATTGTCAATTTTTGAGTGTATGGTTTAATCATGTTCTTCAGACAGGCGTCTCAGTTTTTAAGTTTTAGTTTTTCCACTGAACAGCAGATGTCGCTGCTGCACACATTTCATTACGCCATGTTAGGACGGTGAAGAACTTTTGTATTGTACAAAAAATATATATATTGCGGATTTCCATCCATCCATCCATTTTCTGAAACCGCTTATCCTATTCAGAGTCGCGGGAAGTCTGGAGCCTATCCCGGAGGCTCCGGGCGCAAGGCAGCGAACAACTCATGACGAGGCGCCGACCCATCATAGGGCAGACTGACACACCAGTCACTCTCACAGAGCTCACCTACGGGCAATCTGGTAACTACAATAAACCTCAGCATATTTTTGGACTGTGGGGGGAAGCCGGAGTATCCTAAGGAAACCCCAGGATAACACGGGGAGAACATGCCATTTCCACATTCGTGGAGCCATGGCGGAGACTCGAACCCTCGTTCCAGAGGTATGAGGCAACAGTGCTGAAAGCAAAATCTATTTTATGTATTCATTACACATTTTTCCCGTCCATACAATTCCATTTGCGCCCCCTTCCTACAATAACACGGTGCAATATAATATTCTTATATCTTATTTCTTACTTTTTATACTAATGCAGGTTCTCCCTGCTGCTGGCACTGGCGAGTCGCTTGTTCCCCACATTGGCGCTACTGCTGCCTGACACACTGACCTACTTTCGGAGCTGCGCGCGCTAATCGCCTCCTGGCGGCTCACGAGCCACGCATTCAGCAAATGGCTTGCATTTTAAAACCTATGTGTTTTTAATGAAAATAATCACATCCGGAATCAGCAACCGTAATCATAGTAATAATAATATTGTATAATAAAAGCACAACGTATTCCATATGTTGTGCATGACAGCATGCATAGGTTACATGCAAGGCATTTAATTCATATAGACTGAATCATCATCTCATATAAGCATGTTTCCCTAATGTTCACGGTCCCGCCATCGTCAGAATTTGTATAAATTTCAGTTTTTCAGGGGATTAACACCGATTTCTATAACGCTAACAACAACATGCATAAACACACTAGTCTGTCCAATAGGAAACTGTTGAACAAATCGGAGTCCGCGATCAATGGTGGCCTGACTTGTCACTCAAGGTAGGCCTATTTTTTTTTTACTCAAAGCTTTGCTGTTTTGATTCACACAGCAGAGGCAAAGAAGTTTACAGCGAGTCTGGACTGCTGATTGTAATTAAAAGAAATACAGTTTAAAACCTTAAACTAAATGCGTCAAACAAATGTATGTAAGCTATATCATTTCATAATTGATTAAACTGTATTAGGGTTTATTAACATGCGATTTTATTCCGTTGATTCTGGCATAAATAAATTACAGGGTTTATGATACGTATTTTGAGCAGAAGTCATATAAAAGCGGTAACACTGGAAAACGAGAAGACGTCACATGGCTGCAGCCACTACGGTTAATTACTATACGAATTACAGCGGCTCGAGACCTTGTAGGTGAGTAACCTGCAGTAAATTGGGGGTAAATATGCATGTACGCATTACAGAAGAGCGTGTCTGTCATGCAAATGATTTCAATTATCAAGTCAAAGTCTTTTATTGTCGATTCTGCCATATGTACGTACAGGACATAGAGGATTGAAATTATCTACATTTAGTGACCTTTTATTGTTTGTTAGTGCAGGTTCATAGTGTTAGGAATTACAGGGCATGTGATGCCGTAATTATACTTATTACGAAATTTTCGGTATTATTCATACCACAACGATAAATCCATGCCTTTGGTTTAGTGTGTCGCACAATGTCGTTATGAAAGGTTATTATTTGGTTTCCTATTTTGCAATGAATTCCCTTCATTGACTAGTATACACTTATTGTAAATACACAGACACGAGAAGTTATTGATACTACGTACATGACAAGAAAGTTTTTTTAGGAAGTCACAGAACTGGTATTTGTTTTTACAGTTAAATCTCTTCGTCCTGTAACCTATTGGAAAAGTAAGATTGTGTTTTTCAGTAAACAGTATTAAGAGTAATCACATGATAAAAGTAAATATTTTATAAATCGGTTTGTCCCAAACCACATGCATGCTTATTTTTATGCCGTATTGTTCAACGTGGCCCTGCGTTTTATTGGAGGAAAGCAAACGCCTCTTGTGCGTCTTTCTGCGCGTGGTCGCTTTGCGCGAATCCATGTTTCGCGGCTCTCACGTGCAGCCGGCGCTCGAGCCTCCAGCCCCAAGCTGTGAAGTGGGCTCGCTGCCAGGGGGGAGGCTTATATGGGACATTGCTGGCCTATATTCCAAAGGGAGAGATCTGGGGTAATCTGTGGCGATGGCTGCTCTTAGGAGTAGGGGTGGCGCAGCAACAAATGCGACATGAATCAAGAAACGAACCAAGCAAAATCCGAGTAAGTTAGCACGCGGCGCCTCATTATCTGATCTGAAATACCACCGCAGTATCATGAAATTCGCTAAAACAGCTTTATTATAAGCAATTTTGGGGCTACATGGAAGTACTTCGGGCTGTTTGTTTATTGGGCAGTGATCATTTCGCTGAATAATAAAGCCAAACTTTCTGTTTACGTTAGATTGAAACATTATTTGCAGTTATAGGCTGTAGGATGCAATATGAAAGTTTGTTTCAGCGTCAGCTGCCATAATGTATTTCAGCGTGTCGAGTTCCCTTTGAACACCTTCAAAAGTAATTAAAAGCATCCTGAAAGCATTGTTTGATATGAAATCTTAAACCGCGTAATCCTATTAATCATTATTAATAGCTGCAGTATTTGTCACAGTGCAGTATATCCCGTGCATACTGTATGTTTCAGGACATTTTAAGAGGACGCGCCCACCCGTGCAACAACATCACGAGGTTACGGCGAGCCGTGTGTGTCTCTTCATCCTAATCAAAATTCACATTCCTTTTCGCACCGCTGGGGTTCACCTCACAATCATTGGCCACATCGCCGAGATGAATGCTAATTTATGATTAATTTACTTTCACCAGAAGATAATTACAGCTACTGAACTAAATGAACACTGAGTGTTCATATCAGATGTTGGGATTCCTTCTTACTGTTGGAGATACTGACAAAACCAATACTGCAATAACACCATTATGAGTAATGATTATAGGGTTACTAGTAGTATTACAACCAGTACTAGTAAATGTATAGTAGTGATACTCATACAGTTCTGTGCACAAGTCTTATGCAAACAAAATGTTTAAAGCTATGTATCTGCGTAGTAAGATGAAGTGTATCTTTGCTCAGAAAACAGCACAATTTAATATTAGAAAATATATCAATAGATATTATCATTAACACAGTAAAAGCAACAAGATTCCCCAAAAAGTTATTGATATCTAGTTGGATGGCAAGACGAACATGGCTTCATTTCCCAAACCTCTCTTCAGGGGCACCTCAACCATTCCATGCACGCATAAAATTTCACCATCTTAATTAATGAACTTAATTCATTAAATAACTCAATGAGGAATTAATTAGCCAAACAGGGTGTAGTAGTGGTACTAATCAAAAAATACTGGGGTGTGTTGGATAGTTACTGCAAACACTGGGGTGACTTTAGGAGAGGTGATGAAATGGCTAAGCTGACACACTTTGACTGACATAATGCCATAGTCTTACACCAACATGAAGATCATTTCAACATTTTCTTCTCATTCTCAGATTTTTGCACAGCACTGTAAATTTTGACAAAAGTTGACAGATGGAAACAAATGTTGAGGTTGTTGTGATGCATGACGGTCATGAAGCATCTGAATGTCAAGCTTGGCTTAGTTTGATCCGGAGAGGCCTTCAGACTGTGGGGGTCAGGGTTAGGTCACAATCTGTTCAGTGAGAATAAAATGAAAGTAGGCGAGTGTGACACTGTCTCCATCCATCCATCTTGCCTGAGCATCAGGTGGGTCAGTGTTCCTCACTCGTATCCTCGGGCACAACACTGCTTACTGGCATCAAAGGGAAGGGTGACTGCAGAAGACACTTGAACTTGTGAATTTGATAACTCAATAAGTATTTGATATATCTTATTGTTACTTCACAAGAACATTATATGGATGAAGATCTGCATGTGATTTCATTTTGAGGCACTTCACACCAATGTTGAAGCAAGACTGCGTAGTGGCGGCAAAGGAAAGGACGGCTACAGAAGATATTTGATCTTATGAGTAACACTAGAAGTCTTTCATGTATCTTATTCAAATTGTCCAGACACATTGTATGTAAGTTCGGGAACTGATTAAATTTTAGACAATTTGCACCAAAATCCATTGTTGTCATTCCAACAGCATCTAATTATTAGTTTGGTTGTTTTCATTTACTCTCTATACAGCACTTCGGCCAACAAAGGTTGTTTTTAAAGTGCTTTATAAATAAAGTTTGTTTACCAGCTTACCTAACTTTTCATTAGGAAATGTAATATAAACCTGGGAGATCTGTGATTGGACCAGTATGTCCTCCTTAGTGTCCGGATCGGATCTGGGTCACTTTTTCTTTTTTACAGGATGAAGCGAGGAAGATTAAGTATCAAGCCGGATAGTGAAGTCCTTCCCATTTGTGACGGGGCAGTGAAGCGACGTAGGAGTGCGGCGGTGGGCTTCCTCTGCAGCCAGTCCCAGCAGCACGACAGCGTGGAGGACTGGGGCAACCTGCCTCATCACGTGGTGCTGCACATCTTCCAGTACCTGTCGCTGGTGGACCGCGCCCGTGCCTCCTCGGTGTGCCGCCCCTGGAACGATGTCTTCCACATCCCTGACCTGTGGAGGAGGTTCGAGTTTGAACTGAACCAGCCGGCCACGTCCTACCTGAAGTCCACCCACCCCGACCTGATCCAGCAGATCATCAAGAGACATGCACAGCATCTGCAGTATGTCAGTTTCAAGGTAAGGCTCCCTGACTCACACCGAGTGTCCACAGCAGGCGTCACCTGTCAGGGCATCTAGTCTTCGGTGAGGAAATGCTGCCCGCAGGTAAAATGGACTTTTTTTGGCATTTATTTAACTGAAGACCTGCACTTTCAGGTTGACAGCTGCACAGAATCTGCAGAGGCCGCTTGTGACATCCTGTCCCAGCTGGTGAACTGCACCATCAAAACGCTGGGACTCATCTCCACAGCGAGGCCCAGCTTCATGAACGTATCCCAGGTAGGGCTCAGCCAAGCTTGCTTGGACTATGATGGAGTCAGACAGTGGGGCCAAACTGGGCGAACCAAAGACGTGCCTGTTTCTCTTCCTGCCACAGTCACACTTTGTGTCAGCTCTGACCGTGGTGTTCGTGAACTCCAAGTCCCTGTCGTCTATAAAGATTGACGACACGCCCGTGGATGACCCGTCCCTGAAGGTACTCGTGGCCAACAACAGTGACACGCTCAAGTTGCTGAAGATGAGCAGCTGTCCTCACGTTTCACCCGCAGGTGGGTCCGGCCATGACGCCAGTCGCTGACATCAGAGGTCTATGCTTTTTATAACCCTGATTCTGTGCTCAGTGCCTCTGAATAGATCAGCTGGGATTAACCACAGTGTGTCCATGGCTCAGAAGTTTATAGAAAGTGGTACAGTAACTGAGTGACAGAAGGCATTTACTCAGAATGTGCAACTTTATCGAAAGTATTAAGTGCAAGATAAGCTTTAAGGCCAGCTATTAAGGTGCTAAGGTAATGTAATCTAGTTCTCACACCAAAATGCTGAGTTACATAGCTTTGGTTTATTCTGGGAAACATTACAGATGAACCACAATCTACAGACTTCAAATTTTATATTTTTTGATCTCTGAATTGTATGCAAACAGACAAAATAAAAGATAAGCATTTTCTGCGTTTTTTATGGGTTAATTTTCATGGGTGCAGCAACAGTTCATGTCGTGGTTGAGGACGTATCTTTTGAGGGATCCAGCTGCAGGTCTGTTGAGCAAAGTTTTTAACCTGAATTGCTCCAGTAAATGATACAGTTGCACTCAGTTGTAAGTTGCGAAGTAGCTAAACTGTAATATAGCATCTTAGCTTGTTTTGCTGAGGTCCTTCTGTGTCTGCAGGCATCCTGTGTGTGGCAGACCAGTGTCACGGCTTGAGGGAGCTGGCGCTGAACTACCACCTGCTGAGCGACGAGCTGCTGCTGGCGCTGTCCTCGGAGAAGCACGTGCACCTGGAGCACCTGCGCATCGACGTGGTGAGCGAGAACCCCGGCCAGACGCAGTTCCACACCATCAAGAAGAGCAGCTGGGATGCCGTGGTGCATCACTCGCCCAAGGTCAACATCGTCATGTACTTCTTCCTCTATGAGGAGGAGTTCGACCCCTTCTTCTGCGAACAGACACCCGTCACCCACCTCTACTTCGGCCGGGCCGTCAGCAAGGAGATGCTGGGCCGCATCGGGCTTAACTGCCCCCGGCTGGTGGAGCTGGTGGTGTGTGCCAATGGACTGGAGCCGCTGGACGAGGAGCTGATCCGCATCGCCGAGCGCTGCAAGAACTTGACGGCCATTGGGCTTGGCGAGTGCGAGGTCACCTGCAGCGGCTTCATCGAGTTCGTCAAGATGTGCGGCAGCCGCCTTACTCAGCTCTCCATCATGGAGGAGGTGCTCGTCCCGGACAACAGCTACAGCTTGGAGCAGATCCACAACGAGGTGTCCAAGTACCTGGGCCGCATGTGGTTCCCTGACATGATGCCAACCTGGTAGACCGGCCCAGCAGGTCTGCTCCTTCCCGCTACAGCTGTTGTGCTGTTATATGTCCGTCACCTTGTCATGTCTTATTTAATATGTGTAGTTGTGCCGTCTTAGGAAGTATTCATTAAAAATGAATGGTGTGATCTCCTGGATGAGAGATGAAATTGTCTAACGTGCAAGATACATATTCCATCCATCCATTTTCTATAACCACTTGCCGGTTGCAGGGGTGGGTCCGGAACCTATCCCAGAGGCTACGTGTGCAAGCAAGATACATATTATTAAGTGCACTGTAACCCTAATAATCAGCACTGATATTTGTAGGTCGGTGTATAACCCCATTGTCTACAGTCAGAAATATGAGGTCTGACTGACTCAATCTTTATTCACTACATCCCATGAAAGAGCAAGGAAGCCATATATACAGGAAAATGCTTCTCTTTCATCTATAAATTCAAGGCACTTGTAAAATATTTTAAATATAAAGTGTATATTTTTAGCATTGTCTTTTTTGTTCATTTGGTTTTTGTTCAGGGTAACTACAGTGACATCGCTGCATTTCTGTACGTCATATAACAACTTTTCTTAAGCACGGTCGTACCGCATGTGCATCATACTGATCCTGTTATGTGCAGGCATGTGTTAAGGTTCATGTGTTAAGGTTCATGTGTTAATGTTCATTCCTGGTCTTACCTGCACCCTGAATCTGGACTGCAGACCATCACGGAGGATCATTTTCTTATGCTTCTGCTAAAAACCTGAACCTTCCTCTTTGCTGTTTCAAAAATAACAGAGGGATATGCTTTTTAACACTGTCTAAAAATGTTCATTGACAATAAGAATTACTGTAATCTGGAATAATCCATTGTGTCCGCTGATTTATCTGTACATTTTATGGTGTTTAATTGAGATGAAGATATTTTTATATTACTGCAAAGTGGTGTTAATGACCTGATTTCATAAGCCGAACCGGATTAGTTCTCCACGATGCATGTTATGGAAATATTTATCTGTAGCCATTCTTTAGGATGTGTATGCAAATGTAAATATGGTGGGATCCTCAGAGAGTGAACAAAGACAGAACAGCCCACTAGGTGGTGCTCTCTGTTCAAAAATGGGCATAAAGCAAGGCCCAAAGTAAGCCAAGAGCACCATCTAGTGGGGTCAAAAATACAGCAAATGGTTCATGAAGCATCATTTTGTCCATTACTACAGATAGCTGTTCTGTATTATCAGTGGTGTTCATCTGCAGCTGGGGTCTCTTTGCTAATCTCTGTAAGAGTGCCACCTAGAGTAGTTTTAGGAGCAACTGCTTCAAACTGGCAGAAAGGAGGAAATATGAGGCGGCTTATGACCCAGTACTGGAATGTGTCCTACTGCAGTGATACACTGCATGCTCGATGGCATGCAACGCGCTTTTACTGGCAAGCGGATGGAAGATTTTCCAAGCTGATGAAAAGAAAACAGGAAATCCAGTTTTCAAATTTGAAAAGAGAAACTCATATCCCCCAAGTCCTCTGAGAATGACCTTAACAAAAAAAATTTACTCAGGTAACTGGACCTACTTTTAGCAGTAGAGACAGAGGTGTGTTCCCCTTATGTTAGTCAGACATTTACAGATCAGTTTGTCAAACCTAAACCATTACCCCTGAGAGGCCATCCATTGCACTGCAAAGCCGCCTTTCTCAGTGTAATTATGACTGCAGCACCTTCAGTATACGCACCATCTGTACAGTTCCTGTTCGATGGTTTCTTCTGGCTTCCCCCACCCAGGCTTTAATACCATGATGCAATGGTGACGTCAGCCACTGCAGCTGTCACTGATTGGCTGAGATACCTGCTTGCACGTGCATTACTAACATGAGAGGTGCGTTTTTATGTAATGGTAGATTTGTTTTGGTGTAGCACTGGGTAGTGTATGCTTTTATAGGGGGGTGTCTCTCTTTGAAAGGGGAGCTGATATTGCCAAAATGTCTAATATTTAGGTACACAGCTTTCTGTTAAAGATATACTACAAAGGTATTTACTTTTGGTGCAGATTAGTTTGGTGTGCTAGCAAAAGCGTAGTATGCTAGCAAAGCACAATTTAACCTGAGCTATGAATGTTGAGTGATGCCATAAATACCATTAAATAGCGATGGACAAAATGACACTTTATGAACCATTTGCTGTATTTTTTTCCCCACTAGATGGTGCTCTCGGATCAAAAAAAGTCACAAATTGTGCCTCAAAGCACCATCTAGTGGGATCAAAAAAATACAGCAAATGGTTATGGAGGCTTTGTTGTGTCCATTGCTATGATTAAGATTTTTTTAAAGGTAGTAATGATCGTGTTGCTCATAAAGACCAGTAGCAGATCAACATCTGTAGGTGAACTGATAGGACTGCATGCAGCAGAACAAACAGAGAGGCTTGGATCAGGTCAGGCCAGCACTGCCTTGTTTCCCATAAGAGTGACACTTCTGGAGTGTTCGCTGCATCTTTGTAGTCGCTCTGTGTACCTTTGCAGCGGAGTGTGCAGATCTGCGATATCCAATAGATGGAGACATGCTGATGAACTGACCATGAACTGCTTCATCGCAGAGAATTCATGTCCAAACCGCTAAATTTCTGCTGCTTTGAATAGTCTCCTGGAAGCGCCTGGTTCTTTTAAGTTGTGATATTAAAACTGTTGTAAATAGCCCCACAAATCTCTTTGTCTTCATTGCACCAGGTTTACACTGACCCCCCAAACATTTATTTTCATAATTTCGGGAGGTTAATCCAGCGTGTCTTAATAAATGCCCCTCCCCTTATAATGACATCACACTTCAGAGCGACCCTTAGATACATGGGCTTTTCCGCATTTGCTCCATTCACACTCCTCGTCCATCACCTCCTCCAGGTCTGAAGGACCTGAAAGCTCCCGGCCTGAGTGCCTCACACAGAGCACCACTGCAGCTTATTCATCCTACTTTGGCTTTTGGTTTTGACCCGCTAATGTTCCTGAGAAAAGGCCGGTGGGTGTGCAGAGAGCTGCAGAGAGCCTCACCGCCTGCTGGACGCCTCTGCTCCCAGCATCACAGGACCACGTGTCTGAAATGAAGTCCACCAGCTCAAATGCATTTTGCCATTTAGGGTTCATTCATCCTTCTTGATTTCCCTGTGCCATGCCACACGGGAACAGAAGTCTCTGAGCTGGGCCGTTGACATTTTCACACTGTGAATTTGATTAATTCGCCAATTTAATTTCCTTTTATTCTTTTTCTCTCTCTGACAAGGACATTGATATTGTAATTGTTGTTCATGGTCCATAATAAGTCCTGATGAGACCCTGGCACCAAGACTAACACATGCATTGTGTAAGTCAGGGTTTCTCAACCATTCCAAGCACAAGGCCCTGCTGCTCCTCATTAATCATGTCGGTGGTGGGGCCAGAACTTCTTCAGATTGAGCTGATTCCCTGCCAAAGTTCCACAGACCAGTAGTTGAGGATCCCTGGCCTAAATTACAGAGAAAGGATATGCCACAGTTTACCTAGTTTACTATTCATTCATTACTCTGTGATGACATCTTCTGGAAAAGTTGAAGATATCACGGGTGAACATGTAGCTTTGAAATGCTGGTCATTCACTCTATGGACCTTCTGCATCTTTATCTTCTAACCAAGCTTCATGTAGGCTGGTAATGCACCATTATTTCAGTCACAGTAGGACCCGGAAATATTGAAATGTGTCTAAAGAAATCAATGCCTGGAAAAGCACCATTTCCGGCTTAATATGTCAGTTTGTGTCAATGCATCCCTGCAACATCTCTGAGATATTTAACAGTTCATGCTAAAGTGATTAATGCACCTGAAATGACTAGGTGTCGTGACCATGGTGAATACTGACATTTTGATCAAAATGCAGTTTTTACAATGCTATTTAAAAACGTAACACACACACATACGTGTATGTGTATATATATATATATCCATCCATCCATCCATTAACTTCCGCTTATCTGAGGTCGGGTCGCGGGGGCAGCAGTCTCAGCAGGGAAACCCAGACTTCCCTCTCCCCGGCCACTTCCTCCAGCTCCTCTGGGGGAATCCCGAGGCGTTCCTAGGCCAGCCGAGAGACATAGTCCCTCCAGCGTGTCCTGGGTCTTCCCCGGGGCCTCCTCCCAGTGGGACATGCCCGGAACACCTCACCAGGGAGGCTGAGGAGTGTGATCTCCAAGACAGCCCCGCAACATCCAGAGCCTTGAGGAACTCCAGGCAGATCTCATCCACCCCCAGGGCCCGGCCACCGAGGAGCTTTT